GTACTGGGTTCTGCTTCCCAGTTCCTGGCTTGCCTCTGCCTAAGCGCTGTCATCTTTCCATCAGGAATCAAAGGCTGGTCTCCATGCCTGGGCCCTTCCTAGGTTGGATTGCCCTCATCCAGGGGACTGGAAGGACTGCCTTGATGTTGATAAGAAGTGACCTCACCCTTTAGGTCATTCCACCCCTCCAAAAAGGGAGGAGCCATTTTTAAAAAGGAGAGAAACCTCTCAAACACACAATTACACAGTGCCCCTCCACAAGTGGAGAGCACAAACAAGACGATTGAATGAATCCTCCTCAAGTTTCCTCTTTCTGTCTAGGTTGCTGTCTGAGAGCTGAAACCCATAGGGACATTTGGGCTGCTGACCTGGCAGGGACCTAGCTCTAGGGAAACTTCCTGAGAGGAAGAGGTGATTGGTTCATGGAAAGGCTGGCCCCCAGGAGGAAGTCATCATGTCTTAATGACACTAATTCTCTGTCTCCCCAATTCTCTGGCCAGGTTGTTGTGGAGAGAGTGCTCTGAGAATCCATTCCATTTGTCTCTCCATCCATCCATCTATCCATCTCTTCTCTAACTTTTATAAACATTTCCGGAGTGCCACCTCTCAGCCAAGCAAACACTGCACTGAGCAGAGGGAAGGAAACGAGTTCAGGTGACTCAGCTTCACGAGGAAATTCAGGAATATCAAGGGAATTGATTGGTAGGTGGAAGAATGATGCTTAAGAGAACCTGAAACTAGGCTCACACTCCAGTTCAGGATACAGGTGGGCCTCAGCTTCTCAAGTCAATGTGAACCTTTAACTTTCTAATCCACTTGAACTATTTGTCCCCAGAACTTTGTGGGTGGGAGTGGTATAACAAAATCAGTCACATAAAATGACTCAGTCTTTCAACATTTTTGTATTGAGACACAGCAGTGAACAGGGAGCACAAAGAAACTGCCTTCTTTTTTTTTGAGTTGGAGTCTCAGTCTGTCGCCCAGACTGGAGTGCAGTGGCTGCTCTCGGCCACCGCAGCCTCGACCTGCTGGCTCCGGCGATCCTTCCGCCTCAGCCTTCCAAGTAGCCGGAATTACAGGCATGCACTACCACGCCCGGCTCATTTTTTGATTTATTGTAGAGATGAGGTCTCGCTGCCCAGGCGGGTCTCGAACCCGCGGGCTCAGGCAATCCACTCACCTCAGCCTCCCAAAGGCGCGGGATTACAGGCTGAGTCACCGAGCCTGGCTAAGAACCTGCCTTCTTGGCGTTTACCTTTTAGGCAAACTAGAACCGCATGCGTAAACATACCAGGATTTGCACATGGGAATGAATGTTCTGAAAGCAGAGAGTAAGGGATGGAATGTAGTCAGATTGGGTTTAGTTGGCTTAAAGAAGTCATGGTCCAGTCACAACACACACCCTGATCCCCACTAGATATTGTCATCTGTCTCCACCCCTCCTGTCTCCCCATTGCCTTGGGCTCCCCTATATTTCCCAGTCTCTTCCTCCCACCCTCCCTCCAAGCTGTTCAGATGCCTCAGGGTCCAGAGATCTGCTTTCTTCTCTTTACCTCTGGAATGTGGCTGCAGCTTCTCTGATTTTTTTTTTCTTATCTGAAATAATCCAGCAAGGAACACTGAGTTTAATGTGGGAAGGCACATCTAATACTTATGTATGTCTACATAGTTGTTAACATTTATGTGTCTACTTTTGTACACATACAGATTCATTTACAAGTATATTTTTGCAAAGAGAGATGAGTGGGACTCCCTCTTGTCTTATAGAAAATGCAGGATGCCCTTACACCAGGTCCTGCCCATCAATCCCATTCCTATTATTGTCATGGGGACTTTTCCTGTCAACTGAATTCTCTAATGAGAGAAAGTGAGTTGATCTCATCCTAGCAAAATGCTCTGATGCCCACAGGGATGTGAAATTGGCACATTTTCAGATGTGGGGATTAGAGGAATGAGAACAGGAGACGGGATTGTGTGTGGTGGAGAGCCAGAGGGGCCAAAGACTAGGCTTTAGCAGGGAAGGAAGAGGCAAGGAAGGGAGGCTTTGGGTCTGGGCAGGGGGGCTGTGGGTGGAGCTGAAGATGCCCCATGTTTGGGTACCTGTAAGTCAGGTGCTTCTTCTCTACCCTGTCTCCTAAATGGAGATCTCTTCCCAGTCATTCCCTGTACCTTATGGGCTGGTGACTTGAGGATGCTGCAAAAGTGGGATGTTTTCCCTTTTTGCTTCTTCTCAGTCATTCTCCACCAAGCAGGCCTGGTGAGGGAGCTTTGGGATCCATGGGGGTTGCCTGAGCATCAGCAGCGGGTCTTGAGATTACTCATCTTTTCCCCTTGGAGGCAGGACTGTCGAGGTCCTCTTTCCCAAAAAGCACTGAGTGTCGAAAATGAGCAGCTGCTTGGGGGAACTGGTAGTGGTATTGACCCTCAGACTTGGGGAGCAAACCATATAAATCCACAGCTGACAACCTGAAGAGGTGGAGAGACAGAAACTAGGATGATGAGGGAAGACCGGACTGGTAGGAGAAGAGTGAAAGGCAAGACTAATTTCAGTCCATTTGATTCAGATCATCAAAGACAAGATTAAACATAAAAAGGGCCCCACCTTTTGGGAAGTCAATCTTTGCAGGAGGCTGACTTATAACTGAAAGGTTGAAAGGCCCTGAAGGCTGGCCAGGGGCCTTTACTGGTGGGCTAAAACTTCAGAATCATGAGGCCATCTTTCAGCAAGTCCATATTCTTGTTATATGGAAAGTAAGGAATGTGGGAGTTAGGAAAGAGGGAAGGGTAGAAAGGAGCCCCTCTTTTTTTTTGAGTTGGAGTCTCACTCTGTCACCCAGACTGGAGTGCAGTGGCCGCT